ATGATGTTGTTACAAGAACGATTGTTGCACTTCACATGATTTATTCTGATATGATTTGTTTTATATGATGTTTGTTACAAGAACGATTGTTGCACATTAGTTGACTTCTTTCTGGTAATGACCTCTGTACCCATCAGCTTGTAGCGTCTTACCATGATGGATCGGAACTTCCTCCATGGCGTTTGTCCAGCCAGAAACTGGACATCAGGCCTACATTGACCATGACTAACGGGATCTCCCAGGAGTTAGACATCAAACACGAGCTCGTATCGCCTGTACGTCCGGGACTTTGGGAGCTGGAGTTGGACTTAAGGACTGAGCTAGGAGGAGATATCTTATTGAACACAGTTAGGACACTAAAGCTAGAGGTAATAAAGTCAGGAGCTCCAGACTGATTGACAGTAGAGAACTAGGGTTTTTGTTTTATGTTCCTGTTTTATTTTATCATAGTTTTAATTAAGATGAAGTTTAGGATAAAAATTTAATTGCTTAGATAGCGTGTATGTATGTGAATAATGTTTTTTTTTTGTAATTATATTTTAAAAGTCAAAGTCATTATTTAACAAAATCCGTGTGTGTGTGTCCGCTTATAACTGGTGAACTTCTGGACCACTTGTCACCAAACCTGGCATATACATAAGTGACATAAGGGGAGTGACATATGGATTCAGCGTTCGGATCTCTCCCACAGCCCCTACACCTTCCCCTTGTGTTGTTGAGTATGTCAACTAGTATATGATATGGTGGTTATAATGTTAATGTATTGTAATAAATGCATTGTTTAATTTGCCTTGGTCATACTTCTAGCGTTGTAACTTCACAGACATCCCCCCAGTGGCACAGTGGGATGTCTGAGAAATCATATCGCTAAAAAATTGGGTTTCGATACCCGTAGTGGGTAGATCACAGATAGCCCATTATGTTTCTTTGCGCTTAACAACAACAAACAAACAAACCATACTTTGGTCTTTATACAACCTTAGATAAGCACAATGTGCTGATACATTATGCCTTTTGTTTTATCTCGTAAAAATTGAAGTTGAAAATAATTTTTAAAGCAATACATAATAAGAAGTTGAATCGACTTCATACACAGGTTCAGTAGAACGGCTTTAAAATACACAAATAAAACTTTATTAACGCAAAACTGGTAACAAATAAAAACTGACTAGTTTTAGCCGTGCCTGGCAGCCATCATCAGATATACAAGTGCATTATTGCTGTAAACTGCCTTACTATTTATAATACTAAGATGTACACCATACAATTAAACAATATATAAATACATAAAAAAAATCCCAACTTCCAATTTCATGTCTGTATGTTTATAATTTAATTCCCTGATATTTCTTGATTTGTATGTTTGTTTGTAGTTAAGCACAAAGCTGCACAATGGGTTATCTGTGCTCTGCCCACCAGCCCACAGCTAACTGCTGTATCTATCGCGAGGAATCGAACCCCAGATTTTAGCGTTGTAAGTCCGTAAAATTATTGCTACCCCCTGGGAACAATTCTGAAAAAAAAAGGAAAAACAGACTATTATAAATTAACCAAAAAAAGGGCAGTCTTTGAAAAATTTTCAAATTCTGTGGATTTTACATTATTTTTATAGTCGCTTTCGCTCTTCAAAATGACATGTTATCTTTTGATGCGTCATAAGAAAGAAGAGAAATATGTATGTGATGATAATTGTCGGCTCATATTTACAGGCCGAATACAAAGACGAAACTGGAGAACGAGCGAAAGCTAGCCTCCTTGTTTATGCTTCCTACTCTCCTACTGAGCGCCATCTTCAGGTGACTACTAGTACTAAAAGTGCAAAGGTAAGAAACGAGGCAAAACATAAAATGTTATAAAATAGTTACTGAGTTTTACACGTTGTAAAACTTTGAAGATTTATACTATTAATATGTATCAATTTAATGCTGAAACAGTTAAGGCGTAACTTGTACCCTAAGTGGTCATGCAACAATAAACCTATTAACCGTTTTACAGTTTTGAATTAATGTTTAATGATATTTACGACTAATGTAATTCCTTTACAGCTTTTATTTATATCAAATCAGGATATCCACGAATACAATATTTTTTATCTCAAGAAATTTAAACTTAATATTATCTTTTACTATAACTCCTTTTTTTTAGGGGGGGGTAAAGCTGCCTCTGCATTTTCACACGAATGGTTTTAAGACATGCGAATATCACGAGTAAATTATTTTTAAGTTATGTCGTTTAGAAACAATTGTTTATTTGAAATTACCAATGAAAGTATATCTACAGAGTAAGAAGTGTTTATTACGTTATCACTACACTTGTGTAATATCACACTGTTAACGATAACTTTTAGCAGCTGCAGTAAGAAAGAAACTGAAAATAAACTAATTTTAAACCTTTGTTTTATTTGTTTTGACAGGTGGGTGAGTTCATTATTTTCCACGTCAGAGCTGACTACTATGTAGAAGATTTTTCATATGTGGTAAGTTGTAGCTGTTGGAAGATCTTGAAACATCCAACTTTTCGTAAAATAATTAACATTTGATGTTTATTACGTCGAAATTTTTATCTTTCACTTTTGTTTAGTTAACAGGATAACTACTTATATTTCTTAATTCTTCTAGTTATAAACTTCACATTTTTTTTTGGAAGAGTTAAACGAACAGCTTACACTGTTATATCTTATTTGTTAACGTTTGGAAGTTTAGAAAGTATCAATTTATTATGTTTCCTGGCCTGGTGGTTAGGGTGCTCGACTCACAATCTAAGGGTAACAAGTTTGAATCCCCATCACTGAACATACTCATCCTTTCAGGTGTGGGGGGGAATTATAATGTGACAGTCAATCCCACTAGGCCCGGCATGGCCAAGTGGTTAGAGCGCTAGACACGCAATCTGAGAGTTGCGGGTACGAATCCTGTCCCACCAAGCATGCTCGCCCTTTCAGCCATGGGGGCATTATAATGTTACGGTCAATCCCACTATTCATTGGTAAAAGAGTAGCGCAAGAGTTAGCGGTGGGTGGTGATGACTAGCTGCCTTCCCTCTAGTCTTACACTGCTAAATTAGGGATGGCTAGTGCAGATAGCCCTCGTGTAGCTTTATGCGAAATTCAAAAACAAACAAACAATCCCACTATGTGTTGGTAAAAGAGTAGCCCAGGGGTTGGTTGGTGGTGTTGAATAGCTGCCTTCCCTCTAGTTTACCACTGATAAATTAGAGATGGCTAGCACAAATAGCCGTTGTGTAGCTTTGCATGAAATTCACAACAAAATTATGTTTACTCTTTCTACCTAGAAACTACTTTGAAAGATGAGAACTTTTTGTTTGATAAATTACTTAATTGGTTTTTATGCTAGAAAAAATTAATGTCCTCAAAGAACCTTATTTAATTAATACTAAAACTCCAGGATAATCATCCTTAAGTGTGGATACAAATACTGTATACCTTATTATCCATTCCTTGCATATGGATACAGAGATTCCATACCTCATTATCTATTCCTTACATATGGATAAGAGATTCCATACCTTATTATCCATTCCTTACATATGGATACAGAGATTCCATACCTTATTATCCATTCCTTGCATATGGATACAGAGATTCCATACCTCATTATCTATTCCTTACATATGGATAGAGATTCCATACCTTATTATCCATTCCTTACATATGGATACAGAGATTCCATACCTTATTATCCATTCCTTACATATGGATACAGAGATTCCATACCTTATTATCCATTCCTTACATATGGATAGAGATTCCATACCTCATTATCCATTCCTAAGTATGGATACAGATTCCATACCTTATTATCCATTCCTAAGTATGGATACAGAGATTCCATACCTTATTATCCATTCCTAAGTATGGATACAGAGATTCCATACCTTATTATCCATTCCTAAGTATGGATACAGATTCCATACCTTATTATCCATTCCTAAGTATGGATACAGAGATTCCATACCTCATTATCCATTTCTAAGTATGGATCCTAAATATTATAGAGATTCCATACCTCATTATCCATTTCTAAGTATGGATACAGAGATTCCATACCTCATTATCCATTCCTAAGTATGGATACAGAGATTCCATACCTTATTATCCATTCCTATCTATCCCTTTTTAGTGAAAAATAGGAGCAAATGATGTTGGAAATTGTAAATTAGAATAGAGTATATATAACTTTCTAGGAGTTTAGAGATAGAGAGAAATAGATATTCAGGAGTACTCCATTTTAGCTAGATGTGGAAATGAATTATTTAACAGGATGCAAGGCTTAAATGAAAGGTTATCAGGGCAACAGATGGGCTGGTTGAAGCTGCAAGATAGATTTCAGGGTAAGGGTGAATTGTATACTGGAGATGGGCGCCACTTGGATAAGCTACTTAAATAGGAGTTACTTCATGAAATGTAGTTAGGTTTGGAGAATATTTATAAAAGGAATTAATTTCAAATAATAGGTTATTTAATAGTGATAGACCTTTTAAAGGAAGTAAAATGACTTTTTATATAAGGATTTATTTAACATAACATAATATTTTGGGACAACATGAGACCTATTTGTCCATCTCAGATGTTCCATCCTCTAAACTAAGTTAAAATAATTAAAAAATAAATTAAAAAAAATCTTAAAGCCAGCCCTTTTCATGCATATACTTATCAAGCTTTTTCTTAAACTCACTTAAATTTACTGCCTCTAGAACATCTGAAGGCAACCCATTCCAAAGGCTAACCACCCTGTTAGAAAAATGAAACTGTCTCAGCTGAAGATGACTCCTACCTTGCCAAAATTTATATTTTTGGTCCCTATTCCAACTAAGTCTCATTGTTAAATATAAAAAAATGATGCATCAACACTATCAATTCCCTTTACAATCTTGAACATCTCAATCAGATCCCCCCTAACTCTTCAAGAGGTTGAATCTATGTGGGTCAAAATCAGGGATTTCAAGGGTAGAAAGTTTGTAACTGACAATTGTTTTAAGCCACCTATGAAAGTTTTGGTCTCCTTATCTAAGAAAGGATATTGACTTACTGTATGAGGTTTGGAAGAGGACTACTAGGATGATTCCAGGAATGGAAGGGTTATGTTATAGGAACAGGTTAAGATCTCTTATTTTCTCTTGAGAAAATAATGGTAAGAGGTGATGTTGAAGTTTACAAGATTATCTAGGGGGATTCATAATATAAAAACTTCTGATTTCTTTGGAAGTACTATATTCTGAAGACAATAGGGTGGGAAGTCACATGGTTAAGATTTGGAAAAGACAGGCTTGGCTCTTTAAGCCAGTTTTCAAACAGGGTGATAAGTTGCTGTTGGCAGTATGGGGGCCAGCACTTTAAGAAGGGAATTGATGATTTCCTGTAAAATAAAGGATGGGTTTTAATTTTTCTCAGGGGTAGGTACGGTGAACAACCTTAAAGGACCAAAAAGGCCCCTTGTCAGCCATATGTTAATCTAAAACCATACTTTCTGTGTACATTTGCTCTAATTTATGCAGCAAAAGCTTACAACTTTTGTTTTTATAGTGCTTCACAGATATTAATTTTGCACCAAATCAAGTTCATTTTAAATTAAAATGTCTGCATAAAGGCAAGCCCCCCAAGACTCCACCTTCATGAAATATGATTAGTCATAAAATTTTATTAACAAGAGGCAATTGAACCATTGCTTAAACAAATATCAATCAAAGAAGTCATTATTAATATTATTAAATTACAATAATTTCTCACCAGATGGAGCTATAATTATTGGATTGTAATTGTTGCAGAACAACTTTTGCCCTTAACAGTTACATATTTTAAATAAAGTTTTTGGCACAGTAAATATTTTTCCATGTTTAAGAAGTACATATTTAATCTAAAAGATGACAATGTGCAGAGTAAGGGATGTATTTTATTTTAATGTAAGAAAATTATAATGATGCTCATGTGTAAGCCATCGCAATCATTAAACTTAGGCAAGATACAGACATTACTTTGTTTCAGGTTTATGATATTGAACTAACTTAAAGTTTGTGTTAATAATAATTATTTAGTTACTAATAGTTGGTACCTATCATCATAAAACTATTCTGTAATCTTGTCTTATAAAAATTGAAAGGATTTTATAGTGACAACTACTTGGCAGAATTTCAGTTTATGAAAAGTGTTTCAGAAAAATAGTTGAGTTTTAACAGAATGTTTCAAAACATCGTTTACCTGTTATAGACCCAACTACCAAAGTTGTGGACAGTAGAAGTATAGATGTTACAGATCCGATATGTGCACTTTTGAGTGGATGTGGGTTATAACAAACCATCTCAGTATGACTGATATTAATAATTATTGTGTATTTAATTACAAAATGAATGTATTGTTTTGAAAGCTGATATCGTAAATTGTTCAGTATATTGTAGATAATGATCAATGGTAATGTTTAAATATGTGATCATGAGTGGTTTTATGTTCAGGTTATTTCCAAAGGAATTATTTTATTGACTGGGCAGGAAAAAATGGCATCCAGTATCAAAACTTTTGCTGTGGCTGTCTCACCTCAAATGACGCCCACTGCTACAATAGTAATTTACAATATTGCCCGAGAAGGTGTAGTCATTGCTGATAGTCTGACATTTCCAGTCGATGGATTCTCCAGAAATAATGTAAGATTTGTCATTTTGTGGTAATGTTTTGGTAAATAAAATGTTTTATTTCTAATCAATTGAAGAAATGTTGTGATGGGAAAATTTTAATTGAAACAGTATTTAAATTATTATTGTTATTTTTTTGTTGCTTATTAGGATTATTCTTGATGTATTTAGGAATCAGGAACATTAAATGAGGAAATGTGAATAATTTATTTTATTTTTCTAAATTATCTTAGTTCACAATGAACTTGAAGAAGATTGGCAAGAATGATGATATCGTTGAAGTAAGTGTTAGTGGTCAACCTGGCATGTACGTCGGTATTTCAGCAATTGAAAAAACTCTGTACAGTATGCAGATGGGCAGTGAACTTAACCACGGGGATGTAAGTTGAGCAGCCATTGAAATGCATAGATAACTTAAGTTTTTTTACATGTAAAATTATTGATGTCATCCATTGAAAGTTAACATCTTTAACTGGACATTGCAGCTGTACGCTTGTGGTTCTAAGCCTAACAGCACGTGCACAAAATGTCATTTTATCAGTAATTACTTTTGTGTTTAAAAAAGTATCAAATGGTGTTGGTTACAAAACATCAAGTGTAATATATCACATGAATACAGTAACATAAAATAACAAGAGGCCATTTTGTCCTACAACGCTGACCTTTCACACTCATATCTTGAGGAAAGGAAATATAAAAAGAGAAATTTTAGACGTATTCTTTCTTTTCAGTGATTCATTGAAAGTGCTATAAAGTTCTGGCCTCCTCTACTGCCAATGGAACTTCAATCCATGAGCCTGTTACAAAAATATAACTGTCTTAGGTGGAGCCTAGCCTCTCTTTCCTAAATCTTAAATTTATGCCCTTTCATCGTATTGTTTGCAGAATACAGCATAAACAAACTGAAGACCAATATCATGTCGATCCCATGAGAAAATTCAATCAGATTACTTCTTATTTTCCATTTATCAAGAGATCTTGACCTATTCATATAAGATAACCTTTTCATCCCCCTAATCATCCAAGTAGTTTTCCTTTATGAACCCCTCTAATAAATCAATATTCTAAACAATACAACTATTCCAGTTGAGGCCTTACAAATGATTTGTACAGAAAGATGATTACCTCTCTTGACTTCTAACCAATATGTCCATAAATATACCCAAAAAATCCATTAGTGTTACTACTAATAACAGAGCACTGTTTTGATGACATGACTTATTTACCTCTATGCCAAGATTCTTATCCATATGAAATATGTGATTGAAATTATGATAACTGAAATGAACTACCATGCACTTAATATGAATAAAAGTCAGTTAGTGAGGGTTTTTTTTCCAAATTACTAATTGATCCAAGTAATTTTTGTACTTTAACATCCTCTATACAGCTAAAATTTTCCAAGAGTTTAGGTCATCAGAAAACGTTATTAATTTACTAATTATGCCCCTATGAGTATCATTCATGTAAGAAAACAACTTAAAAACCCCAAGTGTTGATCCCAGAGAAACTCCATTAATAACGAGGGTCCAATGTGACGGAACTCCATTAATAACAACCTTTTCATTTTTCTCACCCAGCCACCACACCATCCAACCAACTAACCTTTCCCCAGTCTCCATTAATGTGATTTTCTTAGCTAATCTTCTGTGTGGCACCTTATTAAAAGCCTTTAGAAAACCCAAGCACACCAAATCCACACCATCATCCAGCTAGGTGACAAATAATATCCCCGAATCAAAGTTATAAATTAGTAAGGCAAGATTTCCCTTTAGTGAATCTATGTTGACCTTCTTTTATGACATCATATTTCACTAAATGATTGTGATATCAGATACTAGAATTTTTCCCTGTATGAAAAAACATTTATCTTGTCTTAATTTCCAGGGAAACTCCTATCATCTCCTTTAAAATATAATAGAAGTAACCTTAATAACTTTCTGTCTATTGACCTACCAAAAATTAGAGAGAGAGAGGGGGGGGGGGGCTTATATGCATGATCCTTGGCCTTCATTAAAATCCTACATAAAACATTGTCTAATCTTGATGCCTTGTATATTTTTAATATCTCAGTATTTCTATTTACCATCAACAGACTAATATCTAAAAACAGAAGAGAACACTCAAACCAGCCATCTCATATCCTTCAACAGAAACCTTGCTATTATCATGCTATCACCAGTCCCCATTTTAACATTTTGTATGTACTTAAAAACATTATTGTTGTTGGTTTAACATTATCAGCCAACTCCTTCTGACAACTACACCTGACTTGTAGTTTTAAAATTCAGTTCTCAGAATATAATGGAAACAGTTTTGTTCCTAATATCATTTTGATTTCTTCTGAGTCAAGATATTATTGTGATCTGAATGAAACTTACTTGTTGCTCTTCAAAAGTATGGTTACCCATTCATACACTTTTATATGTCTCTGTGTGAAGAATTCTGTCTGATATACTTTTTATAACTTATAAAATCTGAGTCATTTTATAGGTTGCCTTCGGGTGTGTTGCTAGGCATGAGGTTTTTTTTTATTTTTTGAGAGAGAGGATCTTGCTGAATGGTGACAAATATACTATGGAGCAATGGTTCCCAACTGTCGGTCTGTGGACTGGTGCTGGTCCACAAGACAGTTAAAAAAAAATTGGGGTTTTTAAAGATAGTTAATGAAGTATATTGTTTTACAATGTAATATAAAAGTACTTCAAAAAGTTGATATTGTACAAAGTTGTCTATGAAATTAAGGGATCAGAACTAACTGGTCAGTACAGTTAAAATTTCCCAAAAGTTTAAAGTCATCAGAAAACTATTAATTTACAAATTACACTCCTGTCAGTGTCATTCACATAGAAAGGAAACAACAACTTAAAATCCCAAGCACTGACACCAGAGGAACTCCACTAGTAACAGAATACAGGATGTTACTCGTCATCTAGTTAGATGATGGTTTGGGTTTTCAGAAAGCTTTTGATAACGTACCACACAGAAGATAAGCTAAGAAACTTACATTAATGGGGATTGGGAAAAGACTAGTTGGTTGGATGGTGTGGTGGGCGAGAAAAATGATTGGAACCAATGCCGTAGTAGGCAAACTAAAGAAGAAATTGTTTTTTTATGTATCTACTTTCAAAATTTTGGAGAGAAAAGCAAGGACGTTTCAGGTATTCATGTCGACTATACGCTTTGATGGTCAACAAATGACTGAATTAATAAATTGCTTTCACAAAGTCTAGTTAATGCTAAACTAACAACAATAACTGAAGTGAGATTCAGACTTGGTCAACAATTTATGGTTTAAATAACTGGCTAGAATATGAACTGATTTGTCACTTGGTGCAAATGATCATGTCAGATTCGTAGAATCGGTGTTGACACCACAATTGTACTACCTTATTTGAGCACCTAGGTTTTATTTTAATATCACAATGTATAAAGTAAAAAGACATGAGTGCTAAATCTAACTGAAAGCTCAACAGCCTCAAGTTATTTCACGATGCATTTTAACGTTAAGTTAATAGCAAATGTCCATATAATGGTGGTGTATTTTTATGTAACAAACGTAATATAAAATTTGTACTTTTAGGTATTGTACAAAATGACAACTTTTGATGATGATGATGCCAATGGAACCTTAATGCATGTGTGTCACTCTAGAGAGGGAGAACCCGATGAAATATTACGCTTTCCATCTTCAACTTATGGCATTGACACCAACAGGACTTTTGAGGTAATATATCTCTTTATTTCATCTTCTCTGGTATTCTTTCTGAGCTAAGTTGCTTAGAGAGCATTCTGTATATTCCAAGTGTAATTGTCTAAATAATCATGTAATTGGCATGTAGCTTAAATAACTTGTTGAATCACATATTTAAGTTCATTTGATATTTATGTTTCACTCTCTCTCTTTATGGATTTTTGTATGAATTTATTTTTCATTATGCAGTATTAATATTAACTAAAATCTGTCCATTATATTTTAATTGTTGTATCTAATGCATTAATTGGCATCATTGTGTTAATTATTATTATTTTGTCATTGTCTTAAATATGTTAAGTGTTAGTGTTATTTTAAATGCGGTTAGTGTTGACATTGTGTTAAATGTGGTTAGTGTTGGCATTGTGCTAAGTGTGTTTAATGTGAAGTATGAACTTGCATTAGTGTTGGATATACTAGACTGTTTAGTTATTATTTAGTTCATTTAGTGATCTAATATTTAATGAATATTTAGTTTTCATAACAAGAGTGTTAAGGTTAATTATTTTGAAGGCGATATTAATGACAAATTTCTTTACGTAACTTGGTAAGAGTTGTATGTTGTGTGTGTAGTTCAATTGTTGTAGTATTGTTGATGTCATCTTTCTCAAAACCCCCCAGGTTTTTCTTGTTACATCATAGCATCTCCTAATTTATAAAAAGTTCTAGGCCTCAGTTTGGCAATATATATATCTATATATAGGTGACCAAGCGATTGCTAGAAAGGAAAAGTTCAGTCAAGAAAAAAAGTTAGTTGTTGAAAGAAAACATGAAGTTAGCTGGTCTGTGAGTGATTATCCTTCGCGTGTGATATGTTTAAGTGAGTTTCATAGTTTAACAGAAATAAGGGAATAATTTGTCTTGTCAAAGAGTGTTCTAAGTTAATTGAACCCGCCTGTGTGGACTTTGACAAAAAGGAGACAGTTATTTAAAGTTCACTATACAACCTTGATAACCCACAGAGTAACATAAGTGAATTATTCACTGATACTATTGTGATAAGAGTATAGAAAAATAATTCGTCTTGTCAGTTGAATTCTAAAGTAATTGAATCAGCCTGTGTGGACTTTTGACAAGAAAAGAGAATTATTTAGAGTTTAATATAAAACTGCAATTTCCTATAGTGTAAAGAATTTTTGTACATAGTTTGACTTATTTTGAATATATACTATTTTAAAACAAGTGGACTGTGTGCTGTCCATTTATTGTCCAAATTTATTGCCAACAAGTCGCAGACACCTACTGTAGAAGAATCCCATCCCACTCATGTTTAAAACCCTGACAGTTAGCTTTTCTATACTTTCCATACTATACTTATTTTTTTAACCATAAAATTATACAACTTTCAAACATTGGGGTTTTGGTTTTCTTTTACATAATTGTAGCTTAATTGAAAAATTAATGTAATTTGAAGTGAATATTAACACATCATTAGAGTTTATTGTATTGTGGTGACATCTATGCAATATGTGTGGGAAATCTCCTTTGGCATGGAAATATTGTTTTATCCAGTGTGCACGAAAACTTAATACTTTAAAAACCTGAGAACTTAAACTTGGTTGAATTGAAAAGTTAAGTATCACCTAGTGATAAATTTATTAAGTTTTATTCAAGTGTTTAAGTTGTTCATTGGAGGTAGGGGGTGTATGGAATTAAGGTAATGTTTGACTTTTGCTACTTGTGCGTTTGGTTACCACTTGATCTTGAACTCTTCTGATATGTAGAGTTTTATCTTGATCACTTTAGGTATGTGTGATTAGGTTATTGTCTGTCCTTGCACCTCGGATATACAGATCTTAGTTGGTGCTTGATCTTGAACCCTTCTGATATGTAGAGTTTTATCTTGATCATTTTAGGTATGTGTGATTAGGTTATTGTCTGTCCTTGCTACTCGGATATACAGATCTTAGTTGGTGCTTGATCTTGAACCCTTCTGATATGTAGAGTTTTATCTTGATCACTTTAGGTATGTGTGATTAGGTTATTGTCTGACCTTACTACTCGAATATACAGATCTTAGTTGGTGCTTGATCTTGAACTCTTCTGATATGTAGAGTTTTATCTTGATCACTTTAGGTATGTGTGATTAGGTTATTGTCTGTCCTTGCTACTCGGATATACTGATGAATATTCAAATTTAGACAAGTTGGTAGTATGTATATTTATGATATTAGTAACCATGTGAACTAGAAATCATGACTAAGTGATTAACATTTGAAGGTTTAAAATTGTCTTATTTTAAATTATAATCACTTGCATGATTATAATATAATAATTATAATGATATTATAATATAACTTAAGAATATTAGTGTGTTTTGTTCAGAAGTGTATCTCAATTGAAAAGTTTTTTTTTTCTAGTTTGCTAACTTGATCGTGTTTACAGATGCTAATGTAACAAAACAACCAGGTAGGTGGAGCCTGCCTTTTTTTAACATTCTTGAAAAAAAACCATAATATTTAAAAATATAAATGACAATTTCTAAAAAATAATAAATTAACATTTTGCTGGATTTGGCTTGAAATTTTTGATTTTTATTCTTGTGTATGCATTGTTTAAAAATTTAATAAGACCTAAAGGGTTCTAAGAAAAGTTTGAAAGATTATGAATAAATGAAATATTTCTCTAATATTTTCAGTCAAAAAGAGATATGTTTTTTGATACTATAATAACGTTCGACCCACAATAACAGTTCAGAAGCATTAAAAACAAAATGCCCCCCAGTGGCACAGCGGTATGTCTGCGGACTTACAACGCTAGAATCCGGGTTTCAATACCCATGGTGGGCAGAGCACAGACAGCCCATTGTGCAGCTTTGTGCTTAATTACAAACAAACAAACAAAAGCATTAAAAATAATTAACCTCAATTCCAGCATATTTTGATCAGGTACACACACATTATGTAGTAACAAGTCATTGTTATAAACTCATTATCCTTTGTACATCTGTAAAAGACATTATAAATAGGTTGTAAGAGTTACTTAAAAACGAAAATGAGTGTATGGTGAAATTCTTAATAGAAAGTGCCGATGTATATTTGCGTACGCAAAGGATTTTGCAAATATGTGTAATTTATAATACAGTTTACTAAAACATAATGAAATACATACAACCATTGTATTGATGGTTTTAAAGAAACAAATTATATTAAAGGAGCAAAAAATTAAAAAAAATTCATAATTACAAACTTACCTCAGTTTTTTTTTTATTTTGCTTCCCATTCCATTAAATGACCAGAAGATATTAGATGTGCTAATATCAGAGACAGGTACTGGTTACAGTTCATCAGCCAATAAAATGTGTCATTTATATATATATTTATCATTATTGACCAATCAGACAAATCACACAGCCAGATGAGACTACCTGATTGGTTGACTAATGATTGACATTGAAACTGCTAAATAACTTCTCATAATCTTGTTGTCAAACAAGAAATAATGTTAGGTAATTTATTGGTTCATTAGAAGAATATTTAACAGTTGTTTATATTCTGTGTATCATGATGTGGCTGCTTTCTATCAGTATGATGGAATACATGTGGGTTGGACGAAAAGTAGATCAAATAAGTTCTGGTATGAACACAGTTAAAATAAGTCTTGGTCCTGAGTACCGGCAGAATTTCACTCCTGACTTTATAGGATAAACCTTATCATTCCAGAAATTTTTTTACCTTCACTCTAGTATGTAATTTCAATTATTACCTACCTTCTATTTCATAATCAATGTTTTTTACAACTCTTGAATAAGTATGTGATGTAATGGTAAAAAGATTTTCTTCTTAATAGATCGTTGTGACAATAGTGGTTATGCAACTTGTTTGGATGGAATGTGTTATCCAATCAGAAAGCAATGTGATGGGCAGTATGATTGTACAGATGGTTCAGATGAGAGTGGATGTAAGTGTTTTAATGACTTAAGTATGATTATTTTCATATTAACTGGGATTTTAGCACATGGCTAGTACATTTGTCTTGTAATAAAACTCTCCAATGTTTTTCATATCTTGACATCTGAAAAAAATCAGAATCTTCTATCTTCTTGTGTGCTGCACACCATATAAGATATTTAAAAGATCAAGACACATTTCAAGCTTTACTAGGATAAAAATATCATACTGTGTGAAATTTACGATTTTGTCTTTTAGTGACATTTCATATCCAGACATATAAAAAGTACTTTAGCCAAAAGAAGTCCTGATTTTTTTAAAGTAAAGACATTGCATAATTGTTTATTAAAATTTTGTTATTATTATGGTACATTATAAAACATGTATTTTAATTTAATATTTACTAACTGTTCTTTTTTTATAATATATAAAAAACTATCACTTAGTTGTGCAGTGACACTGTGAAAGGATAATGTAACATAATCTAATTAGTGTTTTTATATCTTTCCTTGTATTACTTGCTGATGATGTGGAAATAAAACACCCACAGTTTTTTGTGGGCGTAAGTAGACAATTTTGACTCTCTTTAATTCATCTTCTTGCGTTCTTTTTGGTTCTTTATTAGAGTGAAACTTATTAGCCCGAAGTTTTATTACATGACAGTTTGTTAACATTTTAACTGCTGTGATGCTTGGCATCGTCTATGGCAAATTCTGATACGAATTTTAGTGCAATATCGCTATGTTTTCAATTTAACTAAAGCAATAATAACAAATCTAAAACATGTAATGTTTAATTTTTTTTGTATTAATTTGTGAGCATTTGCGAATGAATACTAAACACGTACGTGTGTTGTAAGCAGTGAAAATGTTAAAAACAAGACTAACTATGGTGTTATTGTACATTCTCTCAGAAATTACTATAAACTAAATAGATATACATTTAATTTTACTCATTTTAATGTTTTTGTTTTCACCCTGTCTGACCCCTCCTCAATGTTAACTGTCTATTCTGTATGTTTACACCCAATGTAGGTACTCATTCTGTTTTCAGCTATATTCAACTATTCACTCTCTCTCTCTCTCTCTCTTAGGACCTTACCTACTTACTTATCTTATGTTCAAATCTTTTGTAATCACTTGTTTTTCATATTTCAGTCCTATGTAATTGCCCTTCCTGTTTTCACATTCTTCTACAATACAGTTATTCTGTATTTACAACTTTTAGTACTAACTCAGCAACCCCAAAAATATATATTTTCATAATACTCATAGTTATGATTAAAAGTTTTATAATTTTCAACAAATATCCTTTTCATGGAAATTTCTGGTGAATATTATTTTATATAATTCTTACATATAATTAAGAAAACAGAAACTCTTAATTTTTTTATCATTTTACAAAATTATTGGTTAATAAATAAAGAGTAAGATGTCAAAAATTACAATTAAATAAATTTTGTCGTTTGTCTGACAAAGTAACTAAAAGTAATCTCAAAGTTTTAAAAGGTTATAGGTTATAATTATTAAAACAGGTTTTTATGTTAAAGTTATCTCTTAAAGTCTACAGAATTTGGATCAGAAACATCATTTCACAAAAAGCCTAGGGGTGCAAAGAAGGCTGACTTCGCATGGGCCCCCAATTCAACTGCTGGCCCTATGCTATGGCTTATTTTACATATATGTGTTAATCCGGCCTGACTAGAATCCCCCCCAGTGGCTCAGCAGGAAGTCTGCAGACTTGTAATGCTAAAAATCAGGTTTTCAAACCCAAGGTGGGTACAGCACAAATACCCTATTGTGTAGTTTTGTGCTTAACTACAAACCTGACTATAAATGTTTCACAGAAAATGCCATTTGCCCCCACTCCTATATCCAAGTGATGCTCTTGATTTGGATGTTATGATGGGAGTATTATTAATCCATTGTTTTGGCCCAAGTGTTCGTATGCCATATAAAATGTTTTGTCTTCCTGTGTATACCATTTTATCTCTTTACCTGTCTTTAAAGCATGTACGATTTTGTTTATATATGTTTTGTTAAGTATTGAATTTTTTTGTTTCATGCTATATAAACTTTGTAACTACAACTACTACTAACATATTTTAATGTTTTCCATAACTGGTTTGGTATACATCAATAAAGTTTCTTATTTAATTCTAATACTGAAAACTAATGATTAAAATTCATTTTTAATACCATAGTAACAAGACTATTGAAATATATTTCTTGAAGCTTATGTTCTTAACTGTAAAACTATAATGTACAAATTAATAGCTTTAAAACATTAACAGTCTATTGTGGTAACATAACTAGTTATATAAAAATATGTTTTAAGATTAGGCTTAAATAAAGATAATCGTATTTGAGACTAGTACTTTTTTATGTCAATTGTGACATAGCTAATGTACTGTATTTTCTGAAAAGAAAATTCTAAGTAGTTATAGGTATAAACACTTTCAGAAATATCTATTATAAAGCTTTGAGTTGTACAGTATATCAGGTGAGCTAAAGCTGAAATATTGTATAATTTTTAGGCCCTCCTAGAGATGAATTAAACCTGGCACTATTTAGGTTGCATCGCGTGAGTCGATTGAAGCGACTTTATGAGAACTCATGGTTGTGGAGAAACATCATCATTGGGTGAGTGCATGCTTAAATTAAACATCTGGTATTATGTAGGAAAGAATAGATTCTGTAATTTTTTCTCAATCAAAATAAGTTCAAGAAGTAGAACTTAACAAAGGAAACAAGATTACAACTACTGTAATGGTTTGTGTTATTTGATGGGTAATTAAAATGTCCGAATTACCGTATAAAATATGTGAATGTAAAAGATTCTGATGCATATGAATGAAGAAGTTAATGGTAATAGATAAATAGTTGATAGTGCTATTAATGACAAGTCTGACCAATATAACTGACCAATGCTAGGAAAGAACTTGTCCAGTCTCATTATTTTACATGTGCTAGGGAATTCAGTCGTGTTATTGAACACAGATTACGCTTCTTATTTCCTGGTTTAATCTGATTACTCTTTTTATTTTCTGGATTAATTTGCTGTTATTAGCAAGTCTAACTATCTAATTCTTGTCGGGAAACCAACTTCTAACTTAAAATACCACAAATATATAGCTCTTGTGCATGTAGCTTTGTGCAAAAAGTCTAAAGACAAACACAGAAATACTAATGCTCTAACTTTATCATAAACTGTAGGGAATATAAATTTATCTATAAGCTGTTTGAGCAGCAAATGATCAAGATACTAATAACATAAAAAAAAAAGAGATTAATTTAAAGATTTATAAGGTAACTGACTTTAGGCTTAAGAAAAACTCTTTTTGAGAATCTTATTAAATTCTTTACAAATGTATGTTAATCTCCACATTTCAATTTGTAATATCAGTTAAAATATTTTTATCTTTTATTTGATAGCTCTCAGGGTTACCACAAATTTCGTGTTTCATTGTCCAATGTCCTCACAAATTGGGTAGTGACAGCCTTTGGAATGAACAGTGACACAGGTTTTGGAATTCATCCTGCACTACAGGTAGGTACAGAGGACTATAGCATTCAGTATTAAATGGTATCAAGACAACTTCAAATATGTTTCAGGTCTCAAGGAGAGACAGTGGTAGGTTTATGGAATTACGATGCTAAAAACAAATTTGGGGATCAATTCCTCATGGTGAATACAGCAGATAGTCCAGTGAGACTAAAAAAATTAAAATCTTGGGTTGACACAGCAGATAGCCCAATGTGGCTTTGGTCTAAAACAAACAAACAAAACATGTTTTTAAGATCTTTAAATTTATTCATTTAACTACATGATGTTTATTCTGTGGATCTACTAAACACATTCATTAATCTATGACTGAAAGTAATATTTATTTAAGTTGTATTGTTCTGTGGATCTACTAAACACATTCATTAATCTATGACTGAAAGTAATATTTATTTAAGTTGTGTTGTTCAAGTTGTTCTGTG